GAAGAGAGGGAGGAAGGGAGGGACGAATGAGAGCGAGGAAGAGGGTGAGGGAGGAGAGGGGAGGTAAGGGGAGAGGATATAGCAGGAGATATGTTAAGGAGGCGAAGAAAGAGACACGCAAGTGGTTGTATTTTGATGTCCTGATCATGTCTCTCTTGCATTTCAGTAATACGATTGTGTACTCGCCTCGTTGTTCAGGTGATAGTTCTGAACAAGACTAGTAGCCCCGTTTTTATGAACTATATTAATGTTGTTCATGTTATTAAAGTGTGGGTTGTATTCTGGTGCTGAAGAACACTACGAAGACTCTTGAAGAACACTACTAAGACTCTTGAAGAACACTACTAAGACTCTTGAAGAATACTACTAGCTCTTGAAGAACACTACTAAGACTCTGAAGAACACTACGAAGACTCTTGAAGAACACTACTAAGACTCTTGAAGAACACTACTAAGACTCTTGAAGAACACTACTAAGACTCTTGAAGAACACTACTAAGACTCTTGAAGAACACTACGAAGACTCTTGAAGAACACTACTAAGACTCTTGAAGAACACTACGAAGACTCTTGAAGAACACTACTAAGACTCTTGAAGAACACTACGAAGACTCTTGAAGAACACTACGAAGACTCTTGAAGAACACTACTAAGACTCTTGAAGAACACTAGTAAGACTCTGAAGAAACCTACGAAGACTCTTGAAGAACATATACTAAGACTCTTGAAGAACACTACGAAGACTCTTGAAGAACACTTACTAAGACTCTTGAAGAACACTACGAAGACTCTTGAAGAACACTACGAAGACTCTTGAAGAACACTACTAAGACTCTTGAAGAACACTACTAAGACTCTTGAAGAACACTAAGACTCTTGAAGAACACTACTAAGACTCTTGAAGAACACTACTAAGACTCTTGAAGAACACTACTAAGACTCTTGAAGAACTCTACTAAGACTCTCATGAAGAACACTACAAAAGACTCTTGAGAAACACTAAGACTCTTGAAGAACACTACTAGACTCTTGAAGAACACTACTAAGACTCTTGAAGAACACTACTAAGACTCTTGAAGAACACTACTAAGACTCTTGAAGAACACTACGAAGACTCTTGAAGAACACTACTAAGACTCTTGAAGAACACTACGAAGACTCTGAAGAACACTACTAAGACTCTTGAAGAACACTACGAAGACTCTTGAAGAACACTACGAAGACTCTTGAAGAACACTACTAAGACTCTTGAAGAACACTAGTAAGACTCTTGAAGAACACTACGAAGACTCTTGAAGAACATTACTAAGACTCTTGAAGAACACTACGAAGACTCTTGAAGAACACTACTAAGACTCTTGAAGAACACTACGAAGACTCTTGAAGAACACTACGAAGACTCTTGAAGAACACTACTAAGACTCTTGAAGAACACTACTAAGACTCTTGAAGAACACTAAGACTCTTGAAGAACACTACTAAGACTCTTGAAGAACACTACTAAGACTCTTGAAGAACACTACTAAGACTCTTGAAGAACACTACTAAGACTCTTGAAGAACACTACTAAGACTCTTGAAGAACACTAAGACTCTTGAAGAACACTACTAAGACTCTTGAAGAACACTACTAAGACTCTTGAAGAACACTACTAAGACTCTTGAAGAACACTACGAAGACTCTTGAATGAACACTACGAAGACTCTTGAAGAACACTACTAAGACTCTTGAAGAACACTAAGACTCTTGAAGACACTACTAAGACTCTTGAAGAACACTACTAAGACTCTTGAAGAACACTACTAAGACTCTTGAAGAACACTACTAAGACTCTTGAAGAACACTAAGACTCTTGAAGAACACTACTAAGACTCTTGAAGAACACTACTAAGACTCTTGAAGAACACTACTAAGACTCTTGAAGAACACTACGAAGACTCTTGAAGAACACTACGAAGACTCTTGAAGAACACTACTAAGACTCTTGAAGAACACTAGTAAGACTCTTGAAGAACACTACTAAGACTCTTGAAGAACATTACTAAGACTCTTGAAGAACACTACGAAGACTCTTGAAGAACACTACTAAGACTCTTGAAGAACACTACGAAGACTCTTGAACACTACGAAGACTCTTGAAGAACACTACTAAGACTCTTGAAGAACACTACTAAGACTTGAAGAACACTAAGACTCTTGAAGAACACTACTAAGACTCTTGAAGAACACTACTAAGACTCTTGAAGAACACTACTAAGACTCTTGAAGAATACTACTAAGACTCTTGAAGAACTACTAAGACTCTTGAAGAACACTACTAAGACTCTTGAAGAACACTAGACTCTTGAAGAACACTACTAAGACTTGAAGAACAATACTAAGACTCTTGAAGAACACTAGACTCTTGAAGAACACTACTAAGACTCTTGAAGAACACTACTAAGACTCTTGAAGAACACTACGAAGACTCTTGAAGAACACTACTAAGACTCTTGAAGAACACTACTAAGACTCTTGAAGAACACTACTAAGACTCTTGAAGAACACTACGAAGACTCTTGAAGAACACTAAGACTCTTGAAGAACACTACTAAGACTCTTGAAGAACACTACTAAGACTTGAAGAACACTACTAAGACTCTTGAAGAACTACTAAGACTCTTGAAGAACACTACTAAGACTCTTGAAGAACTAAGACTCTTGAAGAACACTACTAAGACTCTTGAAGAAATAATAAGACTCTTGAAGAACACTACTAAGACTCTTGAAGAACTACTAAGACTCTTGAAGAACACTAATAAGAGTCTTGAAGAACTACTAAGACTCTTGAAGAACACTACTAAGACTCTTGAAGAACACTACTAAGACTCTTGAAGAACACTACTAAGACTCTTGAAGAACACTACGAAGACTTGAAGAACACTAAGACTCTTGAAGAACACTACTAAGACTCTTGAAGAACACTACTAAGACTCTTGAAGAACACTACTAAGACTCTTGAAGAACACTACTAAGACTTCAAGAACACTACTAAGACTCTTGAACAACTACTAAGACTCTTGAAGAACACTACTAAGACTCTTGAAGAACACTAGACTCTTGAAGAACACTACTAAGACTTGAAGAACAATACTAAGACTCTTGAAGAACACTAGACTCTTGAAGAACACTACTAAGACTCTTGAAGAACACTACTAAGACTTGAAGAACACTACGAAGACTCTTGAAGAACACTACTAAGACTCTTGAAGAACACTACTAAGACTCTTGAAGAACACTACTAAGACTCTTGAAGAACACTACTAAGACTCTTGAAGAACACTACTAAGACTCTTGAAGAACACTGCTAAGACTCTTGAAAAACACTAAACTCTTGAAGAACACTACTAAGACTTGAACACTACTAAGACTCTTGAAGAACACTAGACTCTTGAAGAACACTACTAAGACTCTTGAAGAACACTAGACTTGAAGAACAGTACTAAGACTTGAAGAACACTACTAAGACTCTTGAAGAACACTACTAAGACTCTTGAAGAACACTACTAAGACTCTTGAAGAACACTACTAAGACTCTTGAAGAACACTACTAAGACTTGAAGAACACTACTAAGACTCTTGAAGAACACTACTAAGACGCTTCAAGAACACTTCTAAGACTCTTGAAGAGCACTACTAAATCTTAAAGAACACTACTAAGACTCTTGAAGAACACTACTAAGACTCTTGAAGAACACTACTAAGACTCTTGAAGAACACTACTAAGACTCTTGAAGAACACTACTAAGACTTGAAGAACACTACTAAGACTTGAAGAACACTACTAAGACTCTTGAAGAACACTACTAAGACGCTTCAAGAACACTTCTAAGACTCTTGAAGAGCACTACTAAATCTTAAAGAACACTACTAAGACTCTTGAAGAACACTACTAAGACTCTTGAAGAACACTACTAAGACTCTTGAAGAACACTACTAAGACTCTTGAAGAACACTACTAAGACTCTTGAAGAACACTACTAAGACTCTTGAAGAATACTACTAAGACTCTTGAAGAACACTACTAAGAATCTTGAGGAACACTACTAAGACTCTTGAAGAACACTACTAAGACTTGAAGAACACTACTAAGACTTGAAGAACACTACTAAGACTCTTGAAGAACACTAGACTCTTGAAGAACACTACTAAGACTCTTGAAGAACACTACTAAGACTTGAAGAACACTACGAAGACTCTTGAAGAACACTACTAAGACTCTTGAAGAACACTACTAAGACTCTTGAAGAACACTACTAAGACTCTTGAAGAACACTGCTAAGACTCTTGAAGAACACTAGACTCTTGAAGAACACTACTAAGACTTGAAGAACACTACTAAGACTCTTGAAGAACACTAGACTCTTGAAGAACACTACTAAGACTTGAAGAACACTACTAAGACTCTTGAAGAACACTACGAAGACTCTTGAAGAACACTACTAAGACTCTTGAAGAACACCACTAAGACTCTTGAAGAACACTACTAAGACTCTTGAAGAACACCACTAAGACTCTTGAAGAACACTACTAAGACTCTTGAAGAACACCACTAAGACTCTTGAAGAACACTACTAAGACTTGAAGAACACCACTAAGACTTGAAGAACACTACTAAGACTCTTGAAGAACACTACTAAGACTCTTGAAGGTCCGTGTTACATATTTTGAGAGGGTAATAAAGTGGGAGTATTGGTGTGGGTGAGGTGTGTAGCTGGGTTATATATCTGCCTCCAGTCCTCTCACCAGCAACTTAGTGTGTGTACTCACCTAATTGTGGTTGCAAGGGTCGAGTCACACCTCCTGGCCCCTGCCTTTTCATTGATGGCCACTAGGTCCACTCTCTCCCTCCTCCATGAGCTTTATTATGCCTGTTCTTAAAGCTGTGTATGGTACCTACCTCCACTGCCTGGCTTGTGTAAGTGTGAGTGCAACTCTTCAAGAGTCAACATTAACAGAGGTCACACTTTTCACTTTATTAATCTAATTATGTTTTACAATAGGTGATAAAATTACAAATAACGTCTTAATTATGAAAAAAGTGGCAGTAATTTATATTGCGATGAATAAGACACTTGGATTATCTTTATTGTGGGGACGTTTCGTCCACCAGTGGCTTCCTCAGTTCAGTGCTGAGAAGAATTGTTGGGTTTGAGGTAATCAGTCCCACAGTCCTTCATTCCATCAATCTTGATAAACATTGGACTGATGAAACCATTAGTGGGCAAAACGTTACCACAGTAGAGACACCCAAGTGTTACATAGTGTCTAATTCATCACCCCGATGTTTCTCTCAACCATTTATCTACAATTTATATTATATATACATTTTTAATATATAAATCATAGTAACGTATCGTTCTTTAAGGATTTTGGGATTTATGAGTATAATAATGAAGTGGTGCGTTAACACCCGACACTAGTGGTCAGTGTATACACTGACACTGTATACACTGACACTGTATACACTGTCACTGTATACACTGTCAGTGTATACACTGACACTGTATACACTGACACTGTATACACTGACACTGTATACACTGACACTGTATACACTGACACTGTATACACTGACACTGTATACAGTGTCAGTGTATACAGTGTCAGTGTATACAGTGTCAGTGTATACTCAAATACAGTTACATAAATTATCACACATAGCAGCAGATGTGTAGAGAACCTGACATAACATATTATATTATCATACTAAAAAGACTATCTACTACACGAGGGTCATTAAGACTATCTACTACACGAGGGTCATTAAGACTATACTACACGAGGGTCATTAAGACTATCTACTACACGAGGGTCATTAAGACTATCTACTACACGAGGGTCATTAAGACTATCTACTACACGAGGGTCATTAAGACTATCTACTACACGAGGGTCATTAAGACTATCTACTACACGAGGGTCATTATGACTATCTACTACACGAGGGTCATTAAGACTATCTACTACACGAGGGTCATTAAGACTACTACACGAGGGTCATTAAGACTATCTACCACACGAGGATCATTAAGACTATCTACTACACGAGGGTCATTAAGACTACTACACGAGGGTCATTAAGACTATCTACTACACGAGGGTCATTAAGACTACTACACGAGGGTCATTAAGACTATCTACCACACGAGGGTCATTAAGACTATCTACTACACGAGGGTCATTAAGACTACTACACGAGGGTCATTAAGACTACTACACGAGGGTCATTAAGACTACTACACGAGGGTCATTACTAGGAATAAGGTAAAATTACTCGTGTGTTAGCTAAAAAATAAAAAAAATCATTCCCCTCCCTTTCTGTAGCTACATTCATCAGTCACTTTTTGGCACTCTTCTTGAACTGGTTCATGCTATGACTGGCTTTGACATGTGCGGGTAGTCTGTTCCATTCCTTTATTGCTGTACAATAAAAGGTGTTTGAAGCCTGGCCACTGACTGTGGGTACTACAAAGTTGTGCTCTCTCCCCCTAGTACTATGATTGCTGCGGTTCCCAACCTTGACAAAATTGACAGCAAGATATTCTGGACATTATTTGTGAGCAATTTTATAAACATGATTTAACATCAGTTGTTTTACTGTCTTCAACATTCAGCATATCCAACTGCTGTAATTCATCCTGGCCAACATGTTCTCTTGGTCCCAGCTCCAGAATGAATCTTACCATTTTGTTCTGGGTGATTTGCAGTTTATCTTTCAGTTTTTTTTTTGTCAAGGCAGAGTACCATGAAGACATATGACACTGTATAAGAGCTAGACATAAGGTCCTGCGAGCCTCAGTAGGTAGACACTGTGCTTGTCTGTAGAGGAACTTTAGTCTGGCATTCACTTTCTTTACTACACTGTTCTCTATCAATTCTCCTGTCATGCATGGTTCAAAGGGGATTCCCAGATATTTCACTGAAGATACTTAAGTGATGGGCTCCCCATTACACTGGACATTAAAATTATTTACCCTTTTCAGTTAATGTTTCGTGCCAGAGAGTATGGATTCCGTTTTTCCGAGGTGTAATGATAGTTTGTTGTCTACTAACCATTTGCTGCAGGACTCCAGTTCCAGTGTTAGTACATTAGCTATATCTAGGTGGGTCTTTACCTGACACTAACAGAGCACTGTCATCTGCATACAGTAGGAGTTTGCACTTGACACTGATAGGCATGTCATTGACATAGCATAAGAATAATAAGGGACCCAGAATACTACCTTGGGGAACTCCACATGCTATCGGCAGGGGTTCTCATTCCGTTTTGTTGATTTTGACAATTTGTCTCCTGTTGCTAAGGTAGGACTTAAACCAGTCTACAGAACCTATACCGATAGCTTGAAGTTTCGTACATAATATATTGTGGTTGACAGTATCGAAGGCCTTTTGCAGGTCTGATAGCTGACACTAGTGGTTAGTGGTCTTGATGTGGTCAATGATCTTGGTGTAATTAATGATCTTGGTGTATACAATGATCTTGGTGTATACAATGATCTTGGTGTATACAATGGTATTGGTGTAATCAGTGGTCTTGCATATTGTCTGGCATAAGTTATTTAACACAGACTATAATATAATAGTTACTGGGTACAATAGGAGTCACTGGTTAAAATGATTTCTTACTGTGGATGTTTAGTACTGTAATGTTTTAGAAAAGTCACAAGTTGAAGAATGATGAACTAAACACATCGACTCCAGGCTGAAAGACGGATTACCTCATTCTCCTCATCTTTTACCGTTTTTCTCTGTATTGGACTGAAGAAGTCATTGGCTGTCGAAACGTTACCTCAGTAGAGTCCCAAATGTCGCACAAGTATCTCATTTTGAATATTTAGTACTAGATTGTACTAGGGCGAGTCCATCAGAAAACTGACAGCCTCACTGACACGCTGGACAACCTACCTTGACAAGCCAGTACAGAGGCCACGTAACACCAACAACCTCCATCCCTCTGCATCTCTTCCATACAAATAATCATTACACTCGCCTCTACTGGCCTGTCTTAACGAACCTGGACCTTTAAAAAGATCTGTTTTTCACACTTAGATAATTAATAATAAGGTAAAATCAGGTACTATGATGTGAGTCGCGCAATGATAAGCTGGTGACGTTGTTATTGGTTAGTCAATGCTGCCTGCCAGAGCCAGTCATGACATGATGTATTTACAAGTTAATATCACGTCAGTCCCATAATGCCCAGTACCGGGGTTAAGCTGGTGATTCAGTGGTCACTGGTGACTTAGTACTTACTGGTGAGTCAGTGATTACTGGTATTGGAAAGGGACACAGGATGCAGACGCTGAGACATTTTGTTGGAACGTTTCGGTTGTGGGAACTTGGTAAGTCCAAAGTACCAGGAGAAACGTTCCTATAATAGATGTGCAAGTGTTCGCATGTTTTGCCTTTGTCTAACAACATCTTGGTATGATAGACCATTGTTTGGCCCTCATAATGACGCTCCTCTCACTAAACTTCTTATCTATCCCATCTTCCATTCCACTCTCAACACTAAGCATCCGAGCATAAACACAGGAAGCACGTCTGTCTTCCGCTCACCGGACGGAACGATCCACATGGGTTTAGCGCTTAACATGAACTATTAAAACAAAGAACGAGACAGTTAAAAAAGTGGAGACTGAGGTAGAAGTTAAACCAATGTTTTTAAAGTGGTGGGTCGGTAAGCCAGTGGAAAGCCTCGGTCAGATGAACAAAAGCTACGGTCATAATTATATTTATCTTCCTCCTGCAATTCCGTGAAGAAGGAAATCAGTCATGGGGACTGGAAAAGGTGAATGGGGTAATAACACCTGGACAGTAAAAGCCCAACAGTTGCCATCCTGTCAGAAACGTAAATGTTACTATCGCCGCAAGGTATGGCAACACTGCATACCCAGACAAAAACAGTGGCACACAGCTCTTATAGTGGCACTGTTAAGTGGTGATATCTAAACTAATCCAGGACCTCAAACTATTGTTTAGTTAGTTTAATATTTTATTAGCACCCCAACCCATCCTGTGGGCGTAGTCAAAAGATTACAGAGGTATAATAATGGGTCCAGGGACTGGGCCTCAAAGTTTTGACAGCTGAGCAAGTTACAGAGGCAATGAATTCACAATTTACAAAGGTAATGAAACTCACAATTTACAAAGGTAATGAACTCCAGGTAGGTCTAGTCACAATCATGACCAAGTTTACAAATGTATTTACAGATTACAGAGGTACAACAATGTTGTCCAGGGACCGGGCTCCAAAGTTTTGATGCTGAACTAGGTACAAGGAATTGAACTCAACAAGTTACAAAGGTAATGAACTCACAAGTTACAAAGAGTAATGAATACTGTAAGAATGGTTACTTACGTTTATACATGGTCTGCAATCCTGACAAATTTAAGAGTAATGAGGCAATTCACACTTCCACACCCGGTCACAACTGTAGTGAGTAAATTTTGGTGCAAATGTTTATTGCTGAAGTCTCTCTCTCTCTCTCACTACACACACACACAAAAACATACAAATTTTCAAACACACACACACATAAACACACATCACACACAACACACACACACACACACAAACTCCTACACACACACGCACACACACTCATACACGCACACACCACACTCATACACACCAACACACTCATACTTCACCACAGACAACACATCACACACACACACACAAGGGGGGAGCCAAAGTTACTAGTTATGGGTGGATTTCAATCACAAGGAATTGACTGGGAAAGCCTGAGCCCCATGGGGGGTCCCGAAAACATGAGAGAGCCAAGATGATGGATGTTGGTAACTGGAGAACCTCATGCACAACATATAGAGACACTACCAGAGGAGAGAGGAGAGTTATGAACCAGCAAGGTTGGACTTGTATCACCATGAGTAGTTCGGACATCGAGGGTATCATTTAATGAAAGGCCCCTGGAGCTAGTGATCATGTGGTTCTGTGCTTCGACTACATATGCGCTCCAAGTGGAGAGAGTAGCAGGAATAGGCTTGGGAAAAACCAAACTACAAAAGGGGAACTACTTCCAGGCATGAGGAACTTCTCTTCAAGACATTCAGTGGAGAGGGAACTGACAGGAAACCAGAACAAAAATGATGGACTATGTAGCATACTAAATGCAAGGAGGCAGAGGAGAGGTTTGTTCCCAAGGGAAACAGAAATAAATGGGAAGAACAGAACGATTCCTTGGTTCACCCAAAGGGTGTAGGAGGCAAAAACTTAGGTGTACAGAGAATGAAAAGGTACAGAAGACAGAGAAACTCAGAAAATAAAGAAATCATCCGAAGAGCCAGAAACGAAATGCACAGATAAGACGGGAGCTCAAGTACAATATGAAAATGACATAGCATCAAAAGTAAAGACTGACCCGAAGCTGTTGTAATACAGCCACATCAGGAGGAAACAACAGTTAAGGACCAGGTAATCAGACTGAGGCAAGGAGATGGGGAATTCACAAGAAACGCCGAGAGGTATGTCTAGTAGCTCAACACAAATTTAAAAGAGGTATTTACAGTGGAACAAAAACCAGTAGGACTTCCAAGAAATTCAGAACAGGGGGGGCACACCGGCAAGTGCTGGATGAGGTACATATAAACCAAGGAGGAGGTGACGAAGCCTCTAGGCTAACTTTACACCTCAAATGGCGGTGGGACCAGACAACATCTCTCCATGGTGCGCCTTAAAGAGGAGCAAAATTATTGTGTGAGCCATAAACAAAGATCGTCAACACATCAAAAATTGAAACAGGGGCAACTCCCTGATGTATGGAAAAAAAATGGCAAATGTAGTCCAATTTTTAAAAAGGGAGACAGACATGAGGCACTAAACTAAGACCTGTATCACTAACGTTTATAGTATGCAGGTCATGGAGAAGATCATCAGGAGGAAGAGTGTGTGGCAACCTGGAAAAGAAACAAGTGTATATTGACAACCAGCACGGTTTCAGGGAAGGAAAATACCTGTGTCACAAACCTACTAGAGTTTTCGGACAATTGACAGAAGTAAGCAACAAGAGAGAGAGGGGTGGATCGACTGCGTATTTTTGGATGCAAGAAGGCTTTCGACACAGTTCCTCACAAGAGTTACTTGCAAAACTAGAGGAGACCAGGCCACAACATAACTGGAGAGGGCACTGCAATGGATCAGAGGAAATTATCTGACAGGGAGGCAACAACGAGTCATGGTACGCGACGAAGGTGTCAGAGTGGGCGCCTGTGACTAGCGGGGTTCCACAGGGTTCAGCCTAGGAGACCTGTGCTGTTCTTGGTAATACGTTAACGACATAACGGAAGGACTAGACTCATTAAGTGTCCTTGTGCAGACGATGTGAAGTTTAAATGAGAAGAATCGAATCGACGAGGATCAGGCAGGACTACAAAGAGATCTGGACAGCCCTAACAAGCCTGTTCCAGCAACTGGCTCCTTGAATTTATACATGACCTGCCAATGCAAAGTCATGAAGATTGGGGAAGGGCAAAGAAAGACCGCAGACACAATATAGTTAGATGGCCAAAGGACTGCAAACCTCACACAAGGAAAAAGATCTGGGGGTGAGTAATAACACCGAGCATATCTCCTGAGGCGCAACACAATCAGATAACTGCTGCAGCATACGGGCGCCTGCAACCTTAGCCAACGGATAGCGTTTCCGATACCTCATAAGGATTCGTTTAAGACTGTACACCATCTACGTCAGCCCATATGGATAATGCAGCACCAGTTTTGTGAATCTACACCTATCCAGCACTCAAGAAATTAAGAGAAAGTGCAAGGTTTGCCAACAAGACTAGTCCCAGAGCTACGGATTGTCCTATGAAGAAAGGTTTGGAGGGAAATTCGCGGCCTGACGACACTGAGGCCAGGAGGGTCAGGGGAGACAATGATAACGACATATAAAAAACTGCGGCGGAATAGACGAGGTGGACAAAGACGGATGTTCCAGAATGGGACACAGTCACAATAGGTCAAAATGGAAGGTTGAAGACACAGATGAATCAAGAGGGATGTTAAGGGAAGTATTTCTTCAGTCATAGAGTAGTCAGGGCCAGGAATAGCCTAGAAAGTGAAGTGGTGGAGGCAGGAACCATACATAGTTTTAAGGCGAAGGTATGATAGACTCATGGGGAGGGAGGAGAGGACCTAGTAGTGCAATCAGCGAAGAGGCGGGTCCAGGAGCTGTGACTCGACCCCTGCAACCACAAATAGGTGAGTACAAATATGAGAGTACACACTCACACACCTCATACACATACACACGTAATAACACCACTCATACACACCACACACACACAACACACACACACACACACACACACACACACACACACACACACCATGCACATATGTGGTAATGCTTTATTTCAGCTAGCAAAGTCAGGGTATTTCTCAAGAATGGTCTGTAATATACCACTGTGGTATAAAATACTAACCATTAACTTGAACACATTCTGAGTGAGTTGTTCGCAATTTCATTAATTTTATTGCACCCAGTACATCATGAGACGCAGGTTGACAATAATCTCTGGCCAAGTTTTACAATTCGTTTTGAGGTCTACATCTGGTGGTGGTGATTTAATAAACTGCCAAAGATACTTGTAATGTAACCCAGCCGGAGCCCGGGCGTAGTGACAGCAAATCCAAGAGTCTGCTTATTTTGTTGGATGCACCATAGACATTTTTTATGTGGCTCTCCTGCATGACAGAATGATGATAGATGGACTCACTGGTGTCAATCTCCCTGAGCCTTAGTCCATAAAATTCAAGCTAAGTTCTTTTCGTATATTGTTCTCAAACTACTTACCTACAAGCCAGATTGTAATCTACTCCCTCTTTGAAAGCAAACAGCTTAAGAGCCAATTTACAGTTCAAACATGCAATCTGAAGACCAATGTGAGATGGAATCCTCAGCATGTGCACTCTGACTCCACAGTCCTACAATTCCAACCCTACCTTTGTCCAGGCTTCAGACACAAGCATGCACAATGTATAACTTAATTAGTTAGAGAGCATTTATGGATGACGAGAATCATTACAATTAAATGTCAATCTTTGATACTAGATGCATTTACATGCAAGATATGGCAAACAGTTCTGTCTGAATGTAGATGCCCAATTATTGATGCGTGCCTCCAATTACTTTAAGATAGCCATCACTCGGTAACGACAACAGGCAGCACTACCATCTGACAGTGTACTTGGTGAAACAGAACCATCAACGTACATAATTTGCGAGAGTGTGTCTGTGTAACTAGTTATCAATACAGCTTAATAGGCCTCATGTTTGGCTATCAAGGCGAAGTTTTGTTGTGATTTAAGAAGTAGTTTGGGGGAAATGGAGGAATGGTATGTTTGTGACTGGGTAATATTCCCTGGAGCGGAGAAGTGCCGCTGTGCCTTCACCCCCTCGCCGCTGGGGGTTAGGGAAGGGCGTGTGTAGTAAACAGTGACCCACTCATAACGCCTCACCCCTGCACGTCCTTCCCCGCCTCACCCACCCCAAAACTCACCAGCACCACTCCATCTATAGAGGTACTCTCCCCTAACCCACGATGTCAGCGTGGCAAAGCAGGGAGTGCCGGGCTCACAGGAACTTCCACTACAATGACAGCATTGTGCGGAGTTCGACGCGAGGCAGCTGTCAGGTGTGCCACAGGCAGTGTGTACTTCAGTTCCTCAAATCCTTCAACATCCGAGCACGACGAGGGCCTGGGATCTTCAATCAACTTGGCGTTCCACCAGGACGCTGACATTCCCTAGGGGGGCTCTCCATCGGGCTGCTAACGGAGCACTGGCTTCTTGGCCCTCTTGGGGAGGGTCGATGGTGCTCGTGGCAAAGCAGCAGATCCCGGGGCAACTTGCTGCTGTTTTGCAATGGCTGTCTACGAGGAGAGACTGGGCACCTAGCAACATCTGTTGTTTGGGCAATGGATGTAATTCCCCAGCTATGTATTAACTGCTCATTTACACTCTGTAATTTGTCTATTATTGTAATCAGTGATAACGTGTTTATCCATTACATTAACCTATGAAAACTTGTCATATTTTGACCAGCTCTACCTGGAGCTCATTACTTTTGTAAATTCTCAATGATAATGTGTTTATGATTCATTACCTTTGCAATTATTCCTGAGTGTGACCAGCTTCTACCTGGAGCTCAATACCTTTGTAACTTGGTCATGATTATGACCAGATCTAGTCATTACCTTTGTAACTTGCCAGCTATCAAAAACTACTTTGGAGTCCAGTTCCCTTGGACCAATTATGTACCATTGTAAATCTTTTGACTACCGCCCACAGGATTGGTATGGGTGCATAAATAATCATATTAAACTAACTAACTGCCTTAATACTTGACATAGATCCATGTATCTGATTCATGCGGAGGTTCGGTTCCAGTCTTTCGATCCCATCTGGAGGAGTGGTTCACCAGTGCTGGGGAAAGTTTTTGGAGGGCTTTCTGTGCAGGGGTTTGAATGAGCTTGCCTGAAGTCATATTAACGCGCATAACACCCACAAGATGATTATTCATTATTTCCTTCTTTCAGTAACACGATCCTCTGATGCTTGGAATATCAAGTTCTTTTTTGCATATTTAAAATTTTTGGCATACGAGGGCAATCCCTAGGATGATCCTCATTGCACACAGTACTGTAGTATATTAGTTCGTATGTTGCTGGACCACCCAGGTATAACTATAATGAGGATTACAGACCATCATTAAAGTTAGCTTCAGATTCGCTGTAATGATCCATGGGATCAAATCTTATAAAGTTAACTTCAAAGCCACTCATTGCTCCACAGTGTATACGAAGTAAAGTAAGGGTTTCTTGAGGGGATGTCATCATAGGTGAGGGTCCAGGAGCTTGTTTCTGCTTGTGACCTGCTGCTGAGCTCTTCATCTAAGGAACTGAACTTGTGCTCCCACAATTCCTTGAATCAAGTTTGCGGGCTGCCCTTCCAGCTCGAGCCGCGTCAGGTGCTGTATACCACTACCGGGTTTAGCACTCTCTCTCTCGTCAATTGTAATAATGATTTCTCAGGATCATTTTTATTGTCCTTCACTATAAATGAGTCTTTTTGTGACAGACTTATTAAAGTTCATTTTTAAAACAATTAATGTAAGAAATAAGTGTGATTTATTATTAGTAATTGAGAATGACAACAAACCAGCAGAATATATGAAACAGTAACATCTTCTTTCTGGTGTGTTCCGTTGTTGTGTGAGGCGGAAATAAAAATATATGATGGAGTAAAGGAGCTTGTGGATTGTGTAGGAGGAGTGAACAGACAGAGCAGACCACCAACACTGTACCTGACACGTCGCTGCAGAGTGACATCAGCGCCAGGTTCAAGTACCAGGCTCCGCCCTAGGATGGTCACGTGATGTAGGGAACTTGGACCTTGTCGAGTAATGTTTGCCGCTGGATGACGGACCAGAGCACCTGCTGGACCCTTTTCGATCACACTGTCCAATAAGAGGAGCGTGGCGGGCTCCCTTGATGGCAGTATGAAGTCCTCTCAAGGTGTGTGATTCTGGTGTTATGTACCTTAACGAATACATCTCCACGAACCTCATCCACCTTGAACAGTCTTATACTCGAGCTGATGATCGTCAGCTGCTCCTTGACACTCTTCAGACTCACCTCTCTTACTCTTGAATTAAGTGCATACAGGTCATTCACAGAGTCAACCCCAGGTATCGAGCGTCCCACGTGTTGAAATAGACCTTCCTGGAGCAAGCAGTGGTCTAGTTGACAATCTACTCTAGCATCAGCTACGTGGGTAAGACTCAGGTCATAACACTTCGAGGTTTTGAGGATGAGATGACGGATGTGTTGGAGGATGACCTGGGTTACCTCGTCTCCCGCAGAATCACCAGCCAGTGATACCTCCTGTTGGAAAGACCTTGTTAAGGCTTGAACTTCTTGATAACATTAATCTTAAACAGTTTCAAACAAGCACTCGCTCTACCATTCACACCTTCACTCTCAGCACTCTAACTTAAAATGATATCCAGTAGTTACGTCTTGCTTCTGCATGGATTGTTACTATGAGATATTTAGATTGTTCCCATCAATCACATGCTTGTGGAGGAAGGAGGGAGAGGGTTTGATTCTATTGTGTGAGGCTTGTAATATACCAGTCACTGTTGTGTATTGGTGTGTGTGCCTTGGAGCTTGCATGATACCAGTTAACTGGTGTTATTCGTAATGATGAGTTCTGTGTCTCTATGGAGTGATCCACAAAGTAGAAGAGCGCGAGCACACACACACAATTGTAGAGTGCGCGTGCACTTATGCGGTACGACCTCACCTCCGATACCATGCGACACGTGTAATTGTCGATAGCGATGTGAGATTACACACGACTTAACATCAATTACACCGTACACGTAATAGCATTGCAGACGCCCCACAAAAAGCGCGATCCATTTCTAATTCATTTGTAGTAGTTTGAGCGATTTCTCATGTACCCAATCTCCCAATTGGTATTTCGTTAGCTGAGAATCCTCCTATAACACATCATCACAAACGGCACAGCTGAAGCAATCACAAAATGAAGATACTATAACAGCAAGAAATCTCTCACTCTCTCTCTCTATTACACGTCCAAAATATCTCCCCCTCCATTAACAGATGTACACACTACAATAACTTATTCAATTACTAATTCTGACTAATTCTCTCTGACCTACACTTAACTCCTTTTAGAAAGGTCTAAGGTGAGCGCGCGGAAGCGAGTGTAGAGCGACTTCATAAGGGACACACACACATCAGACGCCTCATCCCTTCACGCGCGCACGCCCCCACAAGAACTAACACAAAAGGCAAACAACCAGAACATACAACGAGACTCAAGACGTGGGAGAATACGCGCGTGTTTTTACAAGTTATCATCTTATGACACAGGGTCGCTATTTGGACTTCCCCGTATACGAGTCAAGAGTTTCTAGAACTGATACACACACACACACACACACCTACATCGAGAGAGTGAGAGAGTGCAACTATCCATCCACCCCTCTCTCGGCCAGAAGGCGGACGCGTGGCGTCAATTCTAGAACCACCAGTTGGTCACTACAGTAGTGTTACACATCGTACTAACCTACCTAATAATAATATAATATAATATTATAATTAAATAATCATGGGGAAAGATATAATTTAATACAATATAAACAATGAGAGTACTGTTGAATGATTATACTGTACACCCGATAATATTATATTGTCGAACCTGCTTTAATCTGCTAGTTATAAAGTGGTTCGCGATATATTATTACAGAACTTATTTTAAACCGGGCCTATTATATTGTATATAATGGCGTGAAGTAGGGCGCGTAACCTCCTCCCCCCTCGCGACTGACGGTCTCCATTGACTTGTACTCTCTGTGGTGGTAGGCATCTGTCATAGTAGCACAAGTTGTAACATAACAGCAGTCTACATCTCCCAGCTTTCTCCACACCATAGATGGTCCATAAAAGTACCGACTCAAACTGTTAAATAAAGGTATATTAATAAAATTCAAGGCCTGAAGAGGGCATCTGCACTGAGATTATGTTTTCCTTTTTATATGGGAAATGGTAATAGAGAAGGTTTGAATTCTCAAAGCCCAACGAAGTATTCTGGCGTCTCGATTCAATAGAATTTATGAAGGTCAAAGGATTATGATCGGGTACACCGATATCTGATGGGTAGAAGATCCTATATATACATCAAAATTCTCTAGGCATAACAACGAGATTAAGGCTTCTTTTTCTATAGTTGAATAATTAATTTGGTGTTTTTCTTTTAACTTAGAAGAAAAATACGAAACAGGTGTTGTAATAAGTCAGAATTTTGGAGCTTCGTAACAATGCGTCACCCAAAGCATACGCACTGGCATCTATTTGTAAAGTGGATGGTTTATAATAAAAATCAGGACTTAGCAATACTGGGAAGAAGACATAGTAAACCTTTTTTAAACGATTAAAATCAATTATCACAGTCCTGGGCCCATGAAAACTTTAGGATCTTTTTGAGGACTTTAAATTCAGTTAGGGAAAAGCTACCTGTGCAAAATTCGGACAGAACCGAAGGTAGTAACACGGCAACTCCCTAAAAATCTTGATAAGGCTTTTCCTATCCTTAGGGGTAGGAAATTCTAAGAGGGCTTTACTTTGGCGTTCAAAGGATCGACTTCACCTTGTCCAATTCGAAATCCTAAGTATTTAATTTTCGTCTGGCCAAACTCACACTTGACAAATTCACTGTAAAATTATGTTTACTTAAGGCAGTCAAACAAAGCTTTAAGGGGCTGTCTATGGTGTTGGGGCCAACTGTTGCTGTATATGACTAATTCGTCTAAGTAAGCTTCTACTCCGACCAATCCGCCCGTAAGTATGTTCATAATATGCTGGAACATAGAGGCCGGCCCGTTACAGAAGCCGAAGGCATAACGCAATACTTGTATAGGCCACCAGGTATCGTAAAAGCGATATCTCATGAGCCTTGTGACAGCGTACTTGGTAAATACCTCTTAACAATCAATTTACTGATATACTTAGCTCTGAGCCATTAAACTCTGTCAGCGGACCTCTCGCAACCTAGGCCGCGCGCAGCATCTCTAGACTCGCGAGCCGGGTCTCAAACACTCTCCCCCACCCCACCACTACAAAAATACCACAACACATTTTCTCTAACGTACTGTACAAATCTAAACTCGCCGCTCCACCCACCCAATACGGTGAGTTCCCCGTCTGGTTGGAGATATCTCTCACATATCTGCGAGTGGAGCGCCGGTTGACAAAAACGAAACCCATCAGGACCTGTTACGCAGTGAGACTAGTGAGAAGAGCCGTGCGCGACAGCGACTAACATGAGACACAACAGCGTCGAGTTCACCTCTCTTGACACTCTAGACATCAGCGCGAGTGTTTCACTGAGTCGCGAGGCGACCCCTATCGATCTCTATATATCATGCGAGAGTGCGACATGATTGCGTTCTCTTGAGTCATCTCTACGCGAGCGTGCACAACCCAATGTGTACACACCGTGAGCATATATATTGCTCCAGAGATCTGAAGACATACCTCCGCCGCTCACTCAAAACATAGGTGAGTGCAGTGCGAAAGTGCGCGCGAGCGATTCTATCAGAACACTCTATATCTCTATATATCTAGTGTCCTTTGGTCTCTATCCCCTGATTATTAACGAAATTACTCTCGATTATATACTCCGAACTCTCCTCATCAGTAGAGAATTTAAGAGATCACGAGAGATACAACACTCCCGCCCCAATGTAAACACATCTACCACGCGTTCAGATTAAAACACACATATCTTTTCTATACGTATCACTTTCATCCGCAACAAGAATGTACGGCAGTGTGCGCGCGACTACGTTCTTGTTCATGAGCGTTACGAACCTCACACACGTAGAGAACCCAACATAAAGAGAGAGTGCACAATACACACACTCCCACCGAACATTACTACGATTTCCATTGCGACAAATACAGTGGTTTCAAGTAGTATCTCTAACGTGGCGAGAGCGTGAGCCGTTGTGAGTCCTCGTCTTCAGAGTGCGCCAGGGTAGCGGGCGGAAGGGAGCAGTGAGAGACAGTCAACTCAACTGTCCACTTCACACACACTTGCGAGCGACACACTAAAAAGGACAAAATGACACGAGAGGCTGTAGGAGCATTGTCGCCAAACTGCGAGCCAAAAATGAGCGCGAGCGTGTTGAGAACGGCATTCACACATTATAGATCTTGGATCTCACCTCACACACACATCTCAGTTAGTAGGTGGACATAAAATCAAGATTCACATAGCTCACGCGAGAGCGAGACGATCTAGGAAGCACAAGTAAGGATTTAGATGATATGATTGGAATAGAAGAGTTTCTCACACTTGAGAAGAGCGAGCGCGACAATCACATAAAATTAATACACAGTCCAAGGGGGGGGGCTTTATTTAATTATAGGTGGAACACACACAAGAAAGCTAAAAACATCTATATCTATATCTGGACATGGCGTGTAAAACTACACACACACACATAGGGGCTTGTTAACGCAGTGAGAGCGAGAGGGGTAATAAAAACACACTTAATATGGTGAGAACCTTCGGTGCGCGCGAATATAAGATATATAGACACACAGATCTCTGAGTGCGTGAGAGAGTATTCTAGGAAAATTTGATAAAGAGATTGCGGACAAGAGCAAAGATACGAGTAACCAAGTCTGATACAACACATATAACATGATAAGCGATATCTGAATCATCAATCAATAATAAATTAAAATCTCTCTCTAGAGTGTGAGTTTTAAAAGCGCATAGCGATGTGAATCACTTTTATTCATATGACCGAGAGTGATATAACTGGATCTAGCGTACTCTCTCTCTTTTGATAGGTTATAAGAAAATTAAATTAAATGTACATGGAGAGAGTTAGATTAGATTATTTGGTGGTTTGGGTTAAGTGAATAAGTAGAAGGGTGTTGTGGGGGGTAGTGTGGAAGGTAGTTTTAAGGATGGTAAAATTTATGGTGGAATTGGATGATAGGTTTTTAGGGTGTTGTTTTATGTGAGTAAATGGTGAAGTGGGTAGTATAGGGTTTGTAAGTTGTTGTTGTATTTTTAAGGATATATATGGAGGAGAGATTGTATAAAAGGATGGTATATGAGGAAGGGTTAATGGGGAAGGGGTAATTGAGTAGTGTGTTAAGTTAGGGTTGAAATGAAGAGTAGTGGGTTTGAGGAAGTAATACTTAGTTATAAAGTATGAATTGGGTTAGAATATTAATTGGATTTGGGTGAAAAGGAGATGGTGGGGTTTATGGTGATGGTTGTGAATAATTGGTGTAAAATGGAAATGATTATTAAATTAAGTTAAAATTATTAATTA